TTTGTCAGACAGTAGACTTCAGAATCGATCGTTGTGTTGTCCGGCAAAAAAAAAAAAAAAAAAAAAAAAAAAAAAAAAACCTTTTAAATCTTACCAAACGGATTGCATCAGTGGTTTTTTTTTTTTTTTTTTTTTTTAATAAATATTGGCTTTTAAAGTGCTTTGAGCCGATTCCTCGCTTTGTCTCCATGATCATTGTTGTAGATAACCCACTGCTCGTCCCCAGTTCAAAAAAATGAATCATTTTCTTGATGTTTGAGAAACAAATTACTAACATCTATGCGATAGCACAAATTTCTTCCTTTGAGAACATGAGGAACCCGGTCGAATTTAATCTCTCAGCGATCTCACGACTTGTTATTCGCCGGTATCCATCAATTAATGCTTTTATGTGTCTTCATCAGCTTTGACTGGCCTTCCACGTGGTGCATCTTCAGGATCAAAATTTTGCAAACCAGTTTTGATAATGGCGTTCTGTCAAGACATTTTCTACACATACATCGGATTTTTTCCTAGCTTGAACAGCATTTTTACCTTTTCGATAGTAAAAAAGTAAAATACGCCGAAAATTTTACTTTTCACTTTCCATACTTGAAAAGAGTACGAACCAAAAACTACTGCGTTGAATCAATCGAACTTTTTCACAAGCAAGCTTTGCTATATCAGCTGTTAAAGTATATAATGATTATGTGTCTTAAAACAAGTTTCTGTGAAAAAATACACTTAAGCCATCCGCTGAAAAAAAAAAAAAATTACTTTCCGAACAACCCAACAATTTGACGACAGAAAATATTTGATAGATGTTTTATTTTCATTTTTAGTCATAAGGGAATGTATACTCACTTTCAATCATTAAAACACTGTAGGGATTATTTTAATTTCCTAATAGTTACTTTTAATTTTGAAAATCTTTCCTTTAAATTCTTGTTTTCCACCTACAAGTCCCTGCTAGAATGAGATTTCAGTATCATGTTTTATGTAAATGAAGTAGAAGCATTATTAAATGGGAACTTGTTACTTCAGGAGAAGAGTGTGGTCTGCCTCAGGTCACCTCATTGTTTTAAGCCTGTAGTCTTATGTGCCTGTTAGCATTCGACGGCGAGGTTTAATTACAGGCCAACTCAGTTAGTTATCTATGTACAGCTTCGGCTAAAGTTTAGCTAGTTAAAACTAGTTTAGTTTCTTATTTTCTATCTTAACCTTTAAGTACAAATGTTCATTTTCTGGTACGTAAACACAGTGGAGGCATCTCTCAGATTGTGCTCTATTTTATACATTTTAGGAATAAAAAATTTTTAAATAATGTACTATTGTTATTATATAAGCATTAATACACTTTGCTTGTTATATTGAATATTACAATTGTAATTAATTATTTTTAAAACTCTAAAATTAATGCAAATTAATTTTTAAATGACATACGAAAAACTACGAAACACTTAATCAAAAAATAAAATAAACACTACGTACTTGCAAACTTAACTATTTAATAAATTTTTCATCTGCAGAATCTGGATTACATAAAATATGGCAAAAAAAAATATAATATATAATGTATATTAAAAAACTGCAGCACATTAGTTTAAGCATTTTCGACACAATTTTTGGAAATTCTCTTGGCACATTCATTACATATCGGATCCTTGCAGCTGAAATAGATAGGCAGTTTTTCTTATCAGTCTAGCGGGAAAAACCTTTTACGCTTTTTAAGAGTATCAGTTACACCTGGGCTAGAATAGATTCCCTGGAAACTCCTAGCACTCTCTGAATGCACATTTTTTATTTCTCCATTCACAGCTGGCTTTTGAAGCCTCTGTTCCAAACATGGTTTCATTAATTCTCATAATAACTCCATCAAAAAATCAGTTTTTCCCAATTTCGCACTATTTCTTAACGATTGATGTGCCGTAATTTCACTTACGTCAACTAACCTAAAGAACATGGCCATTAGCCACTGCCTTGTTCTTCAGCTTGTAGAATTTTAGAATATTTTTAATCCAATGAATTTACACCTCCTTTAGTCAAATTGTAAAATGTTATTATTTCTGGTTTCCCAGTTTCAAGGTCTTCTGATTTCAAATGATGCATTGAAGAAATGAAAATAACACTTTTTAATTTTTGAGGCAGGTATGAAATGAGAGTCATTCTATCTGTGAATGCATAAAGGGAAGATCCTTCACTTTTCATTTTATTTGGGGAAAATTCACCTGGTATTTGTCTCTTATTTTTTTTCCCCCATAGTACCGACATATGTCAAACCTCTAGAGTTAAGTTCTTGTACAAGTTCGACACTCAAGTATTAATAAAGCCATCTCCCCCTCATGCGAGAAAAAAGTAACGTAAAAGCAGGGTGAGGTCTATATGACCGGAGCCCAATTTTAAAAATCATTTTTAAAAAAACTAATCAAGAGAGTTTAATAAAAATTTAGGAATAGTTATATTTTAAATCAACTTGAAAGTACTGAAAAGGAGAAGAATAACTATAGAAACAGTTTCGCAGTTCTAAAATATTGGTGCGGTGTTTAAAGGTTAAGTTAAAGTCCAAGTGGAGGCTTTCTGTTAAGCTCAAGTCTGTTAGTATTTCTCTGAGTGAATAAAAGGTATTTTAACCTTTCTGTGGACTTATATTTTATAGTTTTAAGAAGACAAGCGAATAGTCACTAGACACTTCCTTTAAGTTCTAATAGCCAAAGACACATTAACTAAAACTTTATAATATTCTTTTACACATAAAGGTCTTTCTTATGTTTTCCATAAATTAGCATTGTAAACCAACAGCTTTCAAGTGCAGAAAAACAGAGTTGAGAAAATGGTAAATGGTTGTCACAGAAAGACAGAGTTCAGAAAATGGTAAATGGCAACAATAAAAAAAGTTTTAAAAAGATTTTTAGAATAACAGTAACTGACAAAAATTTATAAGGAAAAACAAGATTTTAATGTCGTTGAAGTGGATACACATTGAAGGAAAAGTGTTAACGATGGGAGAGGAGTTCTGTGGGTATTTTGTCTTCTGGTTTTTGGCTTTTACATGACTGGTAATTCTTTCTTTCTGTAATGCGAATCCTTTTTAGCAATAAAGTTTTCTCTTATAATATCAGCATACATACTTTCAGTGTAATGTTAGTTTTAAAGGAGAGGAATAAAATACTTAAGAAGCTAACAAAGCTTAGATATATGCATTTTGGTTATAAATTGACAGCACAAAGTGGGACCCAAATGATTTATCCGACAGAGAACGAGCAGTGTTTAAGACTCCAAAACTGAAAATTCTACTTCCATAAACTTCCTCTCAGAAAAGAATTGCAGAAATCTGCAATTCAGTTAAAATTTTTGAAATTTCTTCTTTAGTGAATCTTCGTAGTGATGAAAATAATCATCTAAATACAGATAAATTTATTCAACTAAATCGCTTACTGTGAGAGTTCAAGAATTCCTTCTGACCAGGGAAAGGCCCAATCCCATGTACTGAACATCGTATTAATACTGAAAACAATGGACCTATTGCAGAACCTCCTTCACAGAATGAGTCCTACAAAAAGAGAACTGCTGAAAATATCACTCTGTTGTAATATATGTCTCTTGGCTAGTTGTATAATTCAAGAATGTGAATCTCAATATGCCAGTCCTTTTGTATTTTTCTTAAAAAAAAAACAATAGCATAAGACTTTGTGTTGACTGTCACAAAATAATGCCATTACTATTGTAGATATGTACTCTTTACCATGCATGGACAACCTTATCACAGAAACGAAGTCCATGGCTCACTAATCAAATGAAGAAGTGATGCTTAGAAGAAATAGAATCATCTCGATTCTACAAAGTTAAATGAATCATCCCAATTCAGTAAAATTTGAATAGAATCACTCTGATTATATGCAATTTTTATTGAATCAACCAGATTCAGTGAAGTTTTAATGAATCATCCCGATTCAGTGAAGTTTGAATAGAATCACCCTGATTCTATAAGAGCCCTAATTGACAAGATAACTTTGTGGCCGAGATAACCCCACAACAGAGATTACATACGACATCAAACAGAAGCAAGACAAGAGAAAAACATATTATAATTGTCAATGACAAAAGGCTTCCTATAAACCAGGTGACAAAGTACGGGTGAAGCTGCATCCTACTAGCGATCACAAAATAATAAATGTTGAAAATCCATACCCAAGTGAGAAGGGCCTTATTTAGTGATCACCAATTGTCCACCTACTACATATGGCATTCCTCATTAAGCTAAGCCAGATGAAGTCCTTGGACTTAATATAGCTCAGCCTTATGTGCTTAGGAACTGCTCATTTCAAGAGACAGGACTGTAACACTTCTCCGGAGATGAGGCAGACCGAAGAAATATACTGCTGCCTCTTTTCTGAAATGGCGTACATGCAAGAGGGGAAGTCTGTAACCCAACAGCTTTCAAGCAAATGGTCGCAGCAAGACAGAGTTGAGAAAATGGTGCATGGCAACAGTAAGATAAAGATTTTTAAATAATAGTAACTGACAAAAATGTATACGAAAAACGTAATTTTTTCTTTTTATGTGATGAATACTTTTTAGCAATAAAGTTTTCTGTTATAATACCAACACACATACCTTCAGCATAATGTTAGTTTTAAAGGAGAAGAATAGAGCATTAAAGAGGCTAAAATAGTTTAGATTTATCGCACCTTGGTTATAATATACAATGAACAGCAGTCAATTAAAATAAATATTTTCTTTTAATTAACTGATGAGGAATACACTAATCTGAAAATAAATCAACTGGCAAAATTTAATGTTGCTTAATACTGGTATCAACTAAGAACACCCACTGCAAGTTCAGACAGAAGCATCAGTACACCCTCTTCAGAAATAAATAATTTTAAAATTATTTGCATCTTAACATACACTATAAAAATAAATTAAATATTAAATTGATATTTTTTTTAAAAGCACCATACTTCTACTAAGTGTCTAAATATGGAGTGTGTAAAAGATATGCTTATCCAACCTTCAAAAAGAAACAAAGATCAAATAACTCTTTATTTTCTATAAAAGTTAGACATGCTGTGGCACATGACAATTCAAAGTGCATTATCATTCTTAAGAACCTTCAAATACACTATTGCACACTATCTTCAAAATATATTTTTTCCAACAATAGCATGTCCACAGATAGTGAGGTCACACAGATGATGATTCCATTAAGTCATATGATAAAATTTTAAAATGGTGCAAAAAACGCTGCGTTACTTCACATACAACCCACACACATGTAAACTTAATGAGTCATAAAAATGAAATAAATTTTATCACAAGTCAGTAGAGATTTGTGCAGTCTAACGTTCCTGTGCACAAATGCAACACACATAAAATTTCAATGATTGCAACCACAGATTTTCCTTTAAATAGTGGAAAATATGAAACTGTCTATTTACAAAGTTATGAGGCAATACATTTTATGAAAACTTCTTAAAATGTTAACAAGCACTAATCTACATTTAGAGCTCAACAAAAATTAATATTTTTACAATTATTTCCATTTTTAATGCACATTTTAAAAACAATACTCACATTTTCATTATTAAAATAATCTTACAGTTAAATCACATTCTTTTAAGACATACAATATATATGAAACAAGCATACTACACAAATAAATGTTATTAAAAATTAAATCCATAATGAATCCTCTTCTATTCCAATTAATATTCTTAAAAAAAATAAAGCATACTTTATCACAAAATATATTAAAAAATTGCAAACATAATCATCATCCTTTCTCAAATTTTGAGGTAAAACATATTTTAAGTTTTATTTTGCACAACTTTTTTACAAGAAGAAAGACAATACATTGCAGAAAATTTAAATACTTCAAAATTTTAGTTTTTGTTGCTCGTTTACTCTGTACAAAAACACATGTTTTAAGATAATCTAACATACAAAATCATTCTATGGCATAATCTAACATACAAAATCATTCTATGGCAAGAAAAATGTAAAAAAAAAAATTAAGCCACTTTAAAAAATACTAATTGGAAATGATCATCCAAAAATAAATTACAGTATTATAAACAGCTACTTGTGAATTTTGAATAGCAAATATCTTTGTTTCATATTCAAACACACGATTTATTATTAACTGAAAACTAACTCTTTTACTTCATTCAAATTATTAATGCAGTTGTTTAAAATACTGAGTAAATTAAGATCATTTTATTTTTTAATTGACACATCTAATTTATAAAAGTTATAACACAATTAACATTTATAATCATTTGTCCATTACTGTAAATAATGAAAGCTATTTTAAACATTGTATATTAAGTACCTCAAAACAACTCATTTTTTTTAATTATTATTTTACTATCTAGAGAAGCGAAAAAAGAAAATTCTTCATCCAAACATTCAACACAGTTAGTCACTACATTAACTTTAAAAAAAAAATTGCAGATTCCGTAATATACAATTACCCTACCATTTTTTAATAGACCAAAATATTTTTTTAAAAAACAAGAGAACAAAAAAAAAAGGGACAGTGAAAGCATGAAAGAGAATAAAGTGTTTGTTTAAAAAAGAAAGAAAGAAGAAATAAAAAAGAAAAAAATAGGGATCTGTTGCTCGAAATAAAAGATCACACTAACTGATGTAATATCACAAATACAGGATAACTTCAGTTTATTACATAAACATCTTTCATATGTTAATATGATAGGACTAGAAAGGCATGTTTTCACCTATTTACTTCATACTTCCCCTTGTCTAAGATTTACTTTGCACCAATCAAAGCAACATATAATTGATGAATAAATGGACAATTAGAAATGAAGAGTTGGATATATACAACAATCACATGACTGGCAGATACAATGAGAAATGTTATAAACTATTACTGTCAACTATCAAAATGAATACTACTCTCAACTACCAAAAATGAATACTACTCTCAACTAACAAAATGAATATTTTTTCCACTTCTGAAGCTTGATGCAAAATCATTCAAATACAAAATAAGTCACTCACTTAATCACTTTAATTCAAAAAACATGATACAGATACAGCTGTGGCAGCCCTGTGCATTAACTTGCAGATTCCTTGGTATTTTGCTGGTTACTCATATTCCCACCTATTACACTATCTATCTATATAGATGCACCACCTATCAATACAGTCAAGAAGTACCATGCTATGAGGCCCCAATGTACTTGAAGGTGATAAATGACCTTGAGGGTCAAATGTAGACTTTTTCCATAGCAGACAAGTATTTCACTGCCATCATGCACTTATACGATTGCCTCAGATATTTAAAACTATTTCCTGGCACAAGCATTTGACTGGCCCTCTGGACCATTACACACTCTCCGAGCATTTTTAATTAACACAAAACACCAGCACAGCATAAAAAATTCTATGAAAAATGTACATCAGCTAATATAACAATGATAGCAGATAATGTTATAACAATATCTGAGAAAATATTAAAAGTAAATTATTAACTTTAAAAAAAAACAAACTAAATTCATATCCATTAATTTTCTTCTTGACAATGATGCCTACCAAATTAAAATAGTAACGTAAACAAAAAAAACAAAAGAAATGTGCATCATTAAGTGAGGAAGCAGAAAGAGGTTTGATTTGGTTCATTTAATTATGGCAAAGCACAATATAGGTATGGATGATTTTCTAAGGGACTTTCCATGACTTTTCTAAAAGACTTTCCTCCAGGACTCTGGATGATTTGCTAAGGAAAACTGGCAAATATCCATGAAACACATGGGGAAACCACGAAAATGGCCCTGCAGCAAATCCATTCATCTAGAATCAAACCCAGTTTGAATTATCAGTGTTCAGTAACTTTACCACTCAGCCACAAGAGGGCCCAAAGAAGGAGGGAGAGAACTCTGAATACTAATTTAATTTGCTTAATCAAATAAATTTATTCTCCCAACCGAATTGCTTGAAAATACAGGTAAATTGTTTATAGGACTTTTCTCTTAATTAGAATGTAGGTTATTCCCCTTTTTTTAAGTTTTAAAAAGCTTTCAGATTAACCTTGATTTTAAGTCAACCGAAAATGTCGCTTCTGCTTAACTGAAAGTTGACAACTTTTTTTTTTTAAAAAATACACATAATAATGAAACCTAGGTCTGTATATTTGTGCTCATAAACACAAATAAAAATTATCCAAGACAATACTGATTTTTTTTTTTTCCCCCAGCAATTCAACATCTTGTTTTGAGTGAGTTTTGTAATTACAAGCATGAGTTTCTTGTAACTTATTAATAATTCATCCTTCCCCCTCCAATGTGGAGGGGCATGACTGTACTTCTAATATCAAAAAGCACAGAATAAACAATTTATAGTTAACTCTAAAATCACATGCTGCAGCCTACAAAAATATTATTTAAAATATGCAACATTTTAAATTGCTAATTAACAAAACATCTAAAGACTACTACATCAAAAAACAGAATTTTGTTTGATGTAATAGATTTTTCAACATCTTTTGCAAAAGTAGAATCACTAATGTAATAGCAGGGAAAAGTTATAAGCAATGTATTTTTTACACACTCATGAAAAAAAGCAGATAAGAGTCACAGCCAGAATGCACCTCATAAAATATGACTCTTGTGATGTAACAAGCTTGACTGATTTAATAGTAGTGGATTCAATCACAAAACTTCTAGATGATGAAAGAAAGATTTGGCATTTCATGAGGACTGAGTATAAGCTACAAGGTCAGACACATTAATACAGGAGAAATCAACTGGGTCATCTTCTGGAACAAAATCCATATTGAGAAGGTCGTAGTCCATCTCGGCAAACCGAGCCCCAGCCCTGTCAAAGACACAAACCACAGAGATTAATCACATAACATTCCTTTTTTTAACCTCCGTGACTTGTGCTCTGCATTTAAAAGTGCATTCTGGCTGAGTAAAATAATTATATTTTTTAATCAAATGCTGATGCTATGTGCAGATTTATTACCATCCAACTGCTTATAAAAAAAACACCAGAAGAAAATTTAATTTTAAATCGACATGAACTATTATATGTGCCGCAATTTTAGCAAATGTAAAGTAAAACTGATTTCAAACATCTTTAATAAAATGATTTTATTTATCAGAACAAAAGGTGTCATGCACTTGGATTTTAGCACAGCCATCCAAAAGTCTGCAAACAGTTTTTTTCCTTTAAAAATTCCAAATACATAAAATCAATAAACTGATGATGTCAACAAAATTAATTTACACCAGAAACTGATTTCTGACCTTAAAATCACACAACCATTGCAAAATCTGTACACTAAAAGAAGTCAGATGCCTGTGTAAAGGGAAAAAACTGTAATAAAATATTCTGAGCTAATATTTGTGTAACAGATAAGAAAGAACAAAACCCCAAATTTTGAGTCTATTAATATATTATTTTAAGTAAATAAACAGTCAGAGATTGGGAAATTATCCAAAAGTAGCTATTAATTACACATTGTAAAATTTTTTCACAAACAATACATAATATTTTGAAAAAATTTGAAGAAAATATTTCTTAAGAGAAGAATATTTTTAACAGTGTTTTCCAGAAAGCGAAGTACCATTAACACTTTGCAGTCCATAGCAGAAAATGAAATATTTCTTTTAGTATGTGTTACGGAGTTATCTTATAAATAGTTTTTCATTAAAATATATTTTTTTAAAAAAAGTGCTCTTATGTGCTGCTTTCCTAACCTGAATAGACATTTCTTTCTACAGGCAAACAACATTCAAAGTTTAAAAATGAATTACTGATTTATTCACAAGTGTTCAGAACTTCTTATTAGCTTATATATATAATTCCTTGCCAGCTTGTTTTCTTTTTTTTTTTTTTTTTTTTTTTTTTTTTTTTTTTTTTTTTTTTTTTGAATATTTTCCTACTCATCTCTTTCAAAAAAGGATGAAAATTTCGAATTTAAGAAAAGTCAACTAAACATTCCATCCATGGAAGAATGGCTAAAATTGATTTTTAAAATAAAAAATACCCAACTAGTGTAAATTTACTCTTCATGTACTTTATTTTGTGCAGAAATTCATTTTAAATAAAATATGATGCCACAAACTTAATTTCAAATAACCACAAAATATCAGAACACCCAAAACATTTACAATAGGGACTGAGCAAAAATTTGCATGCATTAGCTGATAATGAAGAAGCAATACTACACATTTAGAACAAGAATTGCCAAAGGAAAAAAACCACAAATATATATGAAATGTATCCAAGTTCTCAGAAAGAATGCACTTGTTTAACAAAGCACAAGCACGACAAATTTATTTTGACAAGTAATAAAATTTTAATAATAATAAATAAATTTTAAACACATCCTGCCAAAGAACAAAAATAAAATTCTAGCAATGCACACTTAAATACAAAAATTATTTTATGACACAGTATTTTTTTTTTTTAGAGAAACTGAGTTAACATTTGAAACACTATAATTTGAAACTCTTTTTATGTTACTCTGAATCCCTACATAAATTCCACAATAATTATAAAATAGATTTTAAGCTGAAAAGTTAAGCATTTATGAAAAATTTGTTACTATTCAAAGATTTGCAAAGCTAACCATTATATAATATCTGAATCCTTGTTTGAATTTTATTACTTTTCATAACTGGACTAATATGTGTAAAAACTTATTAATATACTCTTTTCCTTATTAAGCTCGTCTCCCAAAAAACTTCCATGATTAACCAAACATTTTACATCCCATAAACTTTTTCTCTTCCCCCCCCCCAGTATATATTTTTTCCTTTTGCAATCACTAATGATATGAAATCCATTAAGATATATTAGTATGTTTAGTGCTGAATATAAAGGCTAATTTAAAGTTCAATATATTATAAAAATTCATTCTTCTGAATCATTTAATGTTACCAGTATTCACAATAATGCACTTAATAAAATATCACAGAAAATTTTTCACTACAAGATTTTGCAGAATTTAGTTCAAATTCATGTCAATGCATCATAAAATAAAAGATCACTAAAATATTTCCAGTGCAAATCTTATGAAAAATGAATGCACTGAAAAATATACTTTATATAAACAAGACTGGAAATTTAATATAGGATGGTTTATTTTACAGGCCAAACAGGCAAGTTAATTTACCCACTAACAGAGCTAGTAGTAATGGGAAGAATAGGAGGTACGGGGTAAGAATTAGTCATTGAAAACTTAATTTCTAATAACAGCAATGCTTTACTTAACATGCATAAAAAATTCAATTTTAAAAACAAATTCAAACACAGTTTTAAGCTTTAATTTTCTGTAAAAGATTTGCAGATAAAATATAACAGAAATAACTATGTAATTTTACATTTCTTTGGTATTTTTAAAGCAATAATTATATACATATAATATACATATAAAAATGATAATAAACACCAGAACCAAGCATAACAGATTCATGCAACAAGTTTTCCATATGAAGTAATGATATTCAGTATTTTTATTTGCAAAACATTCACGAAAGATAGGTGACACAAACACGCACATAAATTCACAGATTAAAAAAATGTTCTCACAAATATGAGTCTTGATTATGAAGGGGAAAAACATAGCCCCCCAAAATAATAATAATAATTCATATCCTGGCTAGGAATGATGCCTATACAACAGTTAAAAACACATGCTTCAAAACAATTAAAGTATATATTAAAATGAAAAATGTATGTAAAAAAATACGACTGCTTAAACTATGGAACATAAATCAGATCTGTATAAATTGCCAAATATGCCTAATAAAGTTTTTATAAAAATAAACTTCACTTTAAAATGCATATAGAAATGCATAACCTACAATCAAAACTAATAATTATTCTGAAATGTTTTATGAATATAAATTTTTGGACTTTTTTGTAGCAGATTTCAAATAAAGCTTAGAGGAACTTTAATCTATTTTCTTCAAGATATAATCTTAATGATAAAATAGATCAAATTAAGATTACATAAATGTACACAATTACTACTGTTTGTAATATGCCCTAATAAATATTATGAAGGCTTCCTTAAAAAACCATTGATTAAAATTCCACTAAAATAAATTCCTGAAATTCCAGCCTATATACTAAAACTTTTATTCTATTTACTTATAGAAATAGATTTCTGAATAGTTATTTCTCTAAATTTATGTTAATCAAAAATTACTAAAAGTACAAAACTACTTTCAAAATTAATTTTTCTATATTTATGCAGAACATGCAAGATGTTCTAAAAAATGCAAACTTTTTTTAAATTATGCATGTTTATTACTTGATAAAGTCATTTTCCAAATATTACTTGGTCAATCATTTTCCAAATATTTCATGCAAATGTGCAAATTAAAAAATAATAATATTCTTCAAAAAATAAGCAATTTTCGCATTTTTAGCATTTATTCTGCTGTTTATAAATATATCCAAAATCTGAAAATCAAATTCAAATACTGACTTCTAAGTTTTCATATACTAAGTATTAAATCATTTTGAACTTACCATCAGAATTACATGAAAACATTTTATTTTTATATTCTGAAATTTTAATGAACAATGTAATATAAACAGTTAAAAAGTATTCACTCTCATTTCTTAAAAATACTCATAGATAAATTATCCGTTAATCATTAATTAGTACAAGTAACTTTTCGGTCAAAACTGAGTATAACAAATTATAACAATTAAATTATCTGTTAACCATTAATTAGAAAGAGTAACTTTTGAGTCAAAACAGAGTGTAACAAATTATAGCAAAATAAATTACTGTCAACACGGCTGCATTTTCTTTAAATAGTTTAATAAATAGAAACTACGGTACTTTTGGCAATTCATTAAAATTTACTCTAAATTATTTAGATGTACATTTATATTACGATGTAAATGTGTATAAGCATAATTATAAAATTTAAATTATTTTTAAACTAAATTATTTTTTATTACATAATACTTAATTTTACCTATCTATTAATTACTCTGGGACATGCAAAACGTGAAAACAAAATGCGTATGTATAAAAATATAATAAACTTTAAATTGCTCTTTCTAATTTGCCTTTATTAACTATGCATATTCACATATAATATGCACGTAAATGCTAGTAGTTACATAAAATATCCTATCATTAAGAAAAAAAAATTAATATTTCACTGATGTTATAATTCACAGATGTCAATAAGCATGCATCAATAAAAAATACTCATTTTACTATATTATTCATTTATGCTCCTTTAAACAGCAGAACATAGTTCATTACAGTAAAATTTCAGATACTCACACAAAATTCATTAACAACAGACTGGACTATATTACTAAACACTTCAAAGAACACCAAATTTCAGACACTCATCACTGAAACTGGATGGAATTTCTGAGAATAAAGTCCCCCCAGAACATAGAATGCATGACAAAAATTTATAAAGTCCTTATCCATAATTAAAATGTTTTAATTATGAAATATATTGAAAGTTTATGCACTGAAACACAACATCTCAGCCTGAAACATAGTATTAGTTACATTTTCTGATTTAATGTTGTATTTCACAGCATAATATAAATATCCTTTCAAATTTTAGAAAACTGGAGTTTAAATCTTATCTCACTGACACACATACAGTACACAACATGTCTTTAAAAGGTCTCTGAGATGATAATAACAACATTATATTTATAAAAGACACCTCATTGGGGAACAGAAGGCACTTAAGTCTTCGGTCATGCTTTCTTAAGATGTCATTAAGGCAGAACCAACAAATGCACTTACTGCATGTCTGAAGAACTGTGCTGATCATGATAACCAGGATCAGGAGACTGCAGGACGGACTGAGGTGTGCCAGGGTAGCTGTCAAAACCGCAAGACCCTACCCAGCTATAAGAGAAAAACCATGAAGTAGAGAATATATTTTACTGCATTTTTTTTTCTTCTGACTTATAATAATTTTGAACTAAGAAATATGGCAAGGACTTAAAAATATACAGCCTTTAACTTTCATAAAAATCAATCAAAATGTTTAAATTACCCTTAACAAGTTCCCAATGTGCATTGGCAGCAAACCTTATCTCATGGCCAGGTTTATCATATACGAATCACCATTTTAATTCACTCTGTGGACTCTGTTTATTTAAAAGAAATGATGTGGATTATGAACTTAAAAATTTTCACTATTGGATAACATGAAAAGTTTGTCATATTCGTCTTCCGTTACATCTTCAGACTCATCAATGAATTCTGTTTCATCTTCACCATTACTGTTATCCTGATATGTAAATCAATAATTATTCTGTACTCTAGATTGTTATATATACTGCAATTTTTAAATGACTTAAATTACGTCGGATTTAATTTCATTCCATACTTTTATTATTCACTGACATACTATTTCTAGGCTGGCAAGACGATTGAACCTCCTTCCGTAATTTTTTTCCCCCACTCCACCCTTGAACCTTCTAACAACCATGTATTCGACTATCATTTTAAATTTTCTTTGAGTAGTCTATTGATACATATATCTTAGTTCAAAATTATAATAATTTCTACATAGATCTAAGAGCCGAACTAATTGCATTAATCCACTTGGAGTAATTGTATTAAAATTTTTCATCAATTTCTTTGCATTAACCATTAGATGGGATCTGAACATGTCCCAAATTAAAAGACTTTCTGGATTCTTTAAGGTAATATGATGCTTTTGTCAAACATTTCTTATCTATAATTTATGAATGACACTATTTGGGAAATTACATTTCGGCATCATTTTGCTTTTGAAAATAACCATGGGATTTGATTTCGTTCTGTCCGCTAAGCAAGAAAGCACTACTGTAAGGTGAGATTTTTTGTGACCTGTTGTTTTTATGTATGTGAACTATTTTTGTTCCTTTCACATTGAATGTTTTATTTCCTATCATATCAAAGATTACTGGAGTTTCATCCAAATTTTTCAATATGTGAAAGTTAATAATTTTTTTTGTAGGTCAATAACATACATCTGGAAAGTTATCAATTTGTTGTCCAAATCTTTCAGAAGCTTTTGTCAACCTTTTGCTTTTTATCATAGAACTAAATTATTCCATACCATTAATTGACTACACCGATGCGAAAGTCACTTTCATTTGCATTCTTTTTTGTCTAATTTAACGTAAATAAATGTATGCTGTTTCTTCTTACATTTAATCCCCTCTGGCAATTTTCTAGATCTCAGTTCATAACACTTTATTCTAGGATAGGCCATTTTTTTCCTTTATTCTAGGCCCTTCCCTTTATTCTATTCTTTGGCATATTAATTACTGTAATTTCATTCCACTCACGTATGCAGCTTTCACTAACATCAAAAATCTTTGCTGCCGCACGATTTTCAATACCTGTAATAAATTGAATGACTTTGCATTTGAAACCAGCACTGTGTTTATTTTGTTTGGCAAGAGCCATATTTACTATTAAATGGAAAACTAGATCAGCTTATGTCAACTGAAGCAAATGTGATTTACATGTTCTTCCATGTTCCTTCCATGTTCACTTCAAAATCATGGCTTCAATGGACTACAGAAAGAGAAAACATGTGACACCTAATCCCATGAATTCATTCGGATCAGAGTGCATTCTTATCCCAAATTATGTCACCCTTTTCTCAAAACCCTAGAATAACATTCTCCCAGAAACAATATTCTATGGGTGGATAAGAAGTTAAATTATAGAAATAAAACCAGAATTCATTGCAGCTGCAATGGAAAGATTTAAGATCAAAATAAAAAAATATAACACATCTGAAAGAAAGTGCAATTAAAATATAGAAATATCATATGAGAATGGGAGCATTTATGGAAGCCCCAATCCTTATTTTATTTTTGCAACATCAGAATGTTTATTTTATATTAATTACACAACAAATACTCAGTTCAATTTCATTTTAAATATTTCTGTTTGAACAATAAAGATTCATATATATTTCGAGGTGTGAATTTCTATGTAGCAACGTTACAACCTGATTAATCTCAAAATAGGGCTCTCTCTCTTTTTTTAAAATAACTTGTCTGTCAAATGCTTTCCCCCCTTAACTTATGTAACCCTTTTTTCTTATGCTTTTGATGTAATACTTTTCTTTGTTCCATATGTATATATTTTTTTTTATCCCAGACATTTCATTAAGGGAAAATATTAAAAGTATACAGATGTATTGGCAATAATGCTCAAACTGTATTCAGAGCTTTTAAACTTAACAGTATTCTTCTACTAATTCTCATCAGCATATGAATATGTTTCCCTTCCCACCAAAAAAAAAGAGGGGGTTATTTTTATTAAATTGCTTATGTTACAGAAAATTTCAATTTTTTTTTTTTATTTCTAAAATTCAATTCAAACTAAACATTTTAAATGATTTTGGATTTTGACAGTTGTATTACTCAAATTATGCAAATTCAAAGAGGATCTTTTTAAACACGCACGCACACACACACACACACATACAAAAAAAAGGGGGGGACTGCAGCTCTGAGTATAAAACTGGAAATTTTATAGTGACATTACACTTAAAAAATATCAAGCATATACTTTTAAATAATCAATACGTTTAATACACTCCTTCAACAAAAAATTTGAAGTCTTTATTATAAAATAAAATACTAGACTTACCCAGGTATTTGAGTCACCAAAACTGGTCTAACATAACCATTTGCTGATGGTGGTTGATTTTCTAAGGATAAAAATTGAAAATGAATACAATAAATATTAAATACTAGAAACACATAAACTCAGAATGCAGTACAAGTTATTTACTTGTATTACTTTTCTAGTTTAAACAGGTTTATTATGCTTTGCTTTGAACTATGTCCTAAAAGACACTGACTTTAGAATTTTAACTAGAAGCCATGAAAAAAAAAAAAAAAAAAACTGATTTTTTTTTCTCTGCTTTTTTCCGAAATTTTTGACCGAAAATCAATTGATTACTGATCTTTTACCTCCAAATAACGCAAAATGACTGCAGAATCATACATGTTTTATGTCTTAGTACTTCAAATTGGATGCCATTTAAAATTTGTTTTCAATGAGACAAAATAACTTTCTTTTATTAATATAAACAACCTTAAATTTCAAAAGTTATTCACCGCACATCATGATTTTCATCATAAACAATAAAAAATTGCATTAATTAAAATGCATATATATATAAAAAAACTCTATATGTATGGCATTTGCTATGTGGTTTCAGGGTGCGACCACTGCGCCACTAGAGCATTGTGTCACAATGCTCACAATCCTACAGAGGCTCAGTAGTCGTGCCTTGAAACCACTGCTCTTCTCAATGGCATTTTCTTGCTTTTCCAATAGGAACGTTTATTTTTACCCAGATATAGATAAGGGGCTTTGAAACCACAGAGTTATTTTATTACTAAACAATACATGCACCTGCCCAGTAAAAGGGCCTTTCTTTTCCAGAGATTTTTCTCTGATCTCAACACAATTGCTCCCCAAGCTAGTATTGTGATTTTATAAATTATTTCCTGTGGTTTAAATTTAAAGTAAATATAATTTGCTACAATTAAAAATAGAAATCGCATAACAGTTTTATTTAAATTAAAAATATTTTCTGAATATTTTGGGATGAAATACGAATAAAATAAGTATGAATGGGAAACAAACAATCCGTACAAAGCCAACGAAATTATATTGCAAAAAAATTATATATAATGCAATTCTTATATACATTTTTTTTAAATTTGTAAATTTCGTCATTTATTGGAAACATACACGGAAAAAGGTAAGTTTTTTTTTCCCCTACTACCTCAATAAGTTTGAAAGTGCTAGACATGCGCGCGGTGGGTTCACAGTGCGACACCACCCATAGAACAATGAGCAAGAGTACATTTTTTTTAAATTCATATATTATTTGTCTCTAGGATCATAATATCCAATTTCTAGAGTTTTTACTTTAAAAAATTATAAAAATAATATTGTGTGCGTCAAAGGGTTAAAGCAGCTGACATCAAAATTTTAATCAAAAGCCACACACACACACACACACACAAAAAAAAAAAAAAAAAAAAAAGACTGATCTGTAAGAATCTAGAGAACTGAAAGGATTACAACATTTTCAGCATTAAAATTTCTTTAAAAATGCAAAATTTTAACTTTTTACAATTTTTTAACGTATATATTTTTCTGAAGATTGTTCAACAAAGAACAATTTAAATTACACAGTTCAATGGAGAATACACAGAAGTTTTAGACCATATATTTAGTGTTTCAATCTTGCCATGAATTAAGTTTGAAATACTTAACACCTATGATAAGTTTTGTAATTAATTACAACATACAATTATTAGAAAAAAAATTAAATCATTGAAACCAGAAAAGCTGTGATCTATTAACAGCAAAGGAATTATTTTTGAAAAATGCAATTTAAACTAATTAATGAATCTAATTAAATCACCAAATAATAAAAATTCAGTATGATAAATTCATTTCCAAATACAAGCAAAAGCTTATCTAATTCAAATACAAAATTTATGAATAAAATTTTACCTGTATAGGGTGTATAATATTTGCCAAATGCTTGGTCTTTAGGTGTTTCAGGATACAGATATAGGAGATTCTTAAGGTCACTAATACGGTCAGCTAAACTTCTTATACCAAAATCCCTACTTGTAAAAGGCTGAACCATGAAAACTTCTTGGCCTTCTATAATGACAAAATGAAATTTTATATTTGTACAATGGACAAAATATCTGAATTCCTGGAATGCATCAAATCATTATAAAAAGTCCAAGTAAGACAAATATAGCAGCACTAAGAGAGAAAAATTGTTTAATTAAAATCGAAGTAAATCGTAGAAAAATTTAAGAAATAGCCCCCAACTTTTTTTTTAAATTTCAAGCCCATTAAGACAAAATATCTTATTCCTATATGGTGCATAAAATAACAGAATAGGGTCTCAGTTCTATTTTGTTGGTTTTCAGAATGAAGTAATGATTAAGAGGAACAGAGGAGGCATTCATATTGCGACACTGGTAAACGCTCGCTAGCGTGCATTAAACGCACATGTGTAAATGCATTACGGGCATACATAAGTTTGTAGCTTTGAGGATTATAGATCATTCCGGATAATGGATGTCTGGATTACGGACTTTGTACATAGTATATATAATAAAAGAAAAACTGAAAGGTTTCAGATTTTAAATTATGCCCAAAGGGGCATTTTTTAACATTTTGTGTGTTACCTTTATTTATTAAATATCATGTTCTTCACACTTAAACCATAAAATTCAGTTCAAGAGCAATTTCATTGGATAGCTGAAGAACGAACCAGTTTAGCTCCATGTCCACTACCCAGATATCCAATCTCAATGCCTCTTCAATCATTCAAGCTCTCGCCATCCTGACACTAGCATGCAGCATTGCAAACTTATGCCTATAATTACTTTTTATGGAAACAGTAGCTATCGCCATCAGACATAGTTAGATGGAGTGACTGATGTATATGCGAAGACTCTTCCTATGCAACGCATGAGATTTATTCTCATTTAAGAATTTTTCACGTTATGCCAAAAAAGATATGCTGTTTCATACGTGTTACAAACAGGATGTGGTTTTCACCCAGGCGCCTGTTACCAAGTGTATTTTAGCACCTGAGTCTTCAAGAGCAATATCACGGAATAATTTTAAATTGAGCATAGTCCCCCCCCCATAGAGTGTTGCACTGCTCACATTTAAATCGTTGAATTTGTTAATCAAAAATGAATTAAAGTTTTACAAAATATGAAATTAATAATAAAACAAATTACAAATTTCAAATTTGGGCTTCCAGATGCCCACATTCAAAATTGGATGGCTCTAGGTACCGTTGTTTTATCATAATGCGAGAAACATACATACTTTTATACAGATTCTTCATTATTTAATTTCTTCAAACATAATATGGGGCAATAATATTTGGTGGCAACAATTTGAAAAGTGATGCAACTTTTTAAAGATTTCAACGCAAAATGCGAAATTGAAAGCAATGGTCCCTCGAGGACAGAGCCCCTTTGGACTAATAAAAATACTTTGATATAAAATATAAATTTTGATATACAAAAAATTACAAATTCGGAATATGAATCAGATAAACTCACAAAAATACAGAAACAAAGTAAAAGTTCAATTTTTCTGGAAAGCTTGGAAAATGCCAAATGCAAATATTTTCTGATAGTTAGACATGTCCAAACTGTGATTTATGGTAGAAAAGCCAAATGAATAGAACAAGAAATTTCTGATCTAAAATTTATAAAAACAGTCATCCTTTTTAATATCAACTTGGATAAAAGCCTATATTTAAAATTACATAAGATTTCGAGGATAGGGGATTCATTTCAGACACAAAAGCCAACGTATTTTCACAGGTTTTAGACATGAAAGTAAAACATCTTATTTGATTATAAAATTCCATCGACTGTGAAAATTAGCAGAAATCGTGCCAAATTTATCAATAACACTGACAAAAGTTTAAAGGAACAAATTGTTCTTTATTTAGTTAGATAATCAAACAACACCAGTTCGGATATAACTTATAAAAAACTGAAATTAAGTGTCCCAATTTTCCTTTCTGCATCGTCACTCATCCGTTTTCAAAAAAAGTTGTATATCATGCCCATTAAATAGTAGTAAAAAGGGGCGGAGTATCTTGAAAATAATTAACTGCATGGCTGCTTCGTCGAATACAAGTACCAAGTTTAAGCTCCCCCCCCCCCAAAAAAAAAAACTTTTTTTTTTTTGTTTACGGAAAAATCACATAAATAACTTGCATCATTTTCTTAAAAAATTCAAACCGGATTATCAGGAAATAATCGAATTTATAATAAACCATGGAAAAGGGCTTATGACTGCATGGTGCAATCACACTTGTCCATTATTGGTTTGGTTCTAAATCACCGTTTGACAATAGCTCTTGTTTGTCGAAAATGGCGAATGATATATAGTGTTACGAAATTCACAGCTGCAGTAAGATAGCTTTCCCGCAAAACGGGTTAAGGATTGTCAGAAAGTAGCAAGGAAAGGCAGGGTTGCCAGATTTGGAGCAAAATCTGCCATTTGGCGACAAATTGGCAATATGCCATAGACAGAGATGGCTGCCATGCATTAAAAAGCATTAAGAACATTAAGCATTAGAGCACTGGAGCATTGAGAACTTCTTTCTCAGTTGCAAAAGGCTACAAGAATTTTCATCTTTAAAAGCAATTATCATCAACACATTGGAATTAGCTAGATCAACACTTTTATAAAAATTTGAAATCAGGTGATTCTTTCTGAACTCTTAGTGTCATAGAAGAGTTTTTAAGGAGGAAAACTTAATAAATGGTAATATCATGTATGCGGACAGTTTTATGAATCTTTTAGACTTTTATTTTGGAAATTTAAAATTCAACCTTTTACACTCTTACAGATGAAAAACTTCCGATTCAGAAATGTTTTATTCAAGTTTCATTATACCTAAAAATCATACCTCCCAAAATAAACTTCTTTTACAGATAAGGAAACAGAAGTTAGCAATAGTGGCAATAATAATAATACCTCTATTCTGAGCATCTGTTACCCATGCAATAGTAACACCTCCAAGTTCTGAATCACTGAAACGTAATAAAAACGTCCCATTGCAGTTCTTGAGGAGCATTTCTTCAGCCTGATGTCGACCAACAAATCCTAGGATCAAACTTGGAAAAAAATAATAATAATATATATATATATTGAAATATTCATATAAAAATATTCAATTGCATATATAAAAAATTATATATATATAAATTATATATAAAAATATATATCAGCAAAAATTTTGAAACAATATGTAATAAATTTAGATTTCATAAACAAATTATACTGCAGCAATCAAAACATTGTCTTTCCCCAAAAATTATACAGCTATTAAATCATCATTCAGCTGTTATCTAAGGATATACAAAATTTGCATTTAGCTTAATAGCTAAAAAAACACAAATATGATACTTTACAGAAAGGCCTTTAAAGTCCTTCTTATTAAGTAGGATTATACACAGGGCAAGTCAAAATTATGTGAACAATCTTAATTTTGTTTTGTTTTCTATTCCAGGTTGTTAGTACCCATGGCTGACAAAATCTCATTGGAGCAGAGAAGCGTGGTTGCAAGCTTAATGGAAATTGTGCAATCAGTAACAGTAGTGCAACAAAAGCTCGCAGAACCATTTCCAGAAGAGAGCCACCAAGTCATTTAATAGTTTATTGCATTTACCAGAAGTCTGTAGCAACTGGATCAGTAGCAGACAATTATCATGGAAATGTGGGGTGACCTAGAACTGGCAGAAGTGAAGTAAACTGCTACAGTGCAGGAGGCCATACTAGAGAGTCTATGAAAATCGACAAGATTTTGCAGTCTGGAAACAGGAATCCACAGAGGACAGTGAACAAAATTCTATCCAAGGGCCTTCACATGCAACTATATCACCTACAAAATTATTCAACGTTTGACTACTCAGCAGAAACAAGAACGAGTATAGCGCTATCAGATTCTGACAGAAACCAGCCGGGTATTGTTAGTCAAATGATTTTCAGTGATGAAGCTACCTTTCACACCAGTGGTCACATTAATGGTCATAACACAATTTTCTGGTAGCTGCAAACCCACCTATCATTCGTGACCATGAACATGCATCCCCGATGGTAAACGAATGGTGTGCCGTGACCGCTACTGGTGTACTTGGCCCATTTTTCTTTACAATCCCAAAGGTGAATGCATATGAGTACTTGTATATACTGAAAGGGTTTGCCATTAATAACATGGCCCTACAACTTAGGCAAGAAGAATATTTTCAACATGAACGTGCACCATCTTGGTTGTACCATTCGTGTTTATCTTGATGAAACACAAACCGTTGGATTGGTCATGACGGACTGTAGTTATGGCCTCCTCAATCTCTGATCTCCCACCTTATGATTATGGGGTGTGATAAAGGAGCATGTATACAGTGCAGAAGTGAGAAACCTCGAAAAACTCAGGGTAGAATAAAAGGTGTGATATCCAACATTTCAACAGAAATGTGTGTTCGGGTACTAAATTCTACTACTGAACATTGGTTTTAGTACATTAATCGTGCTGGTGGTCAGGTTGAGATTCTGTACAACGAAAACTTTGAATAAATGCTTTCTCTCAAATAGTGGTCACATAATTTTGATCCCCCCTGTATTTTTAACATATTTTGTCAAACTCTCTCAAATGACGCCAAAATTAATTAATTTATGCTTTTGAGCTAATTGCAGCCTGTCATTTTTATTTTAAAGTTGACAATTCTATCATGAATGTCTCTGATTTTGTACATAAGTGATTAATCTCAGAATAAGAATGGCTACAAAAGATGAAAATGTATTAAAATTTAAGAAATATAACTAAAAATTACTGTTGGCAGTTTATCACAGATGAGGTTAATAGAAAAAATAAAAAGAGCAGGCATGTGCAAACCATGTGCACTTTCTGGCCCTGTAACTGCAGATTGAACAGAGGTTTAACAGAAGATAACAAACAGAAGTTTTGTTTTTCAATCAATGCTTATAAAAGTCAAAACTTGCATATACATTAGACAAAAGCTCTTGTGCATTATGAACATAGCGAAAATGGCATGAGTACCATCTGACACCTAAAAAATACAATAAAGGTCTCCCTAAAGAATAAAGTCAATCTAAAGGTTAAGAGGGGCACCCATCTTCCCAATTGACTCTTTAGCAATGGGAATTAATTCCCAAAACTGAAGAACTCCACAAAAGCAACACTATAAGAAAATCCCATAAATTTAATAATATGCACTCTTTACATTTAGAATTTGCATTACAATTTTATGTAAATCACAGATAAAGGTTAATGTGGAACACTTGCCAAAGAAATAGCATTTAACAGCATAAAACACAAAATGTGAAATAAACGTTTTAAAAATTATTTTGCATCTAATTATAGTTTTTTTTTTTTTTTTTTTTTTTTTTTTTTTTTTTAAAATGGCTGAGTGTTAAAGACTGCTGAAAAAATGGTATTTTCAAGGTTCAAGAGCTAGTAATGGGCTTAGCAGCATAGATGCCTTCTAAATTTTCCCCATGAATAAAGTAAATATGCAACAATATCCCTTAGAAAGTTCATAAAAACCTACGATTTAATAAGCAAACAGTCCTTGTGTGTTTTTCCATACTCTAAACAAACAATTCTAAGGAATTAAAAAGGAAAAAACTGATAACTATTAGGTACTAAGAAAAATTTGAATGCAAATGCAAAAAATAAGAATTTTAAATGCACCTGCTTTGTTTTTGCAGTTCTGCTTCCTCAGCAACACTATACTGACTGATCCCATACATTCATTGACATTTACAGCTTTCACAACAATGCAATTCTACATAACTATTTGTTCGAATAAAAACATCACAAGTTTTATAAATATGCCTTTGCATTCACTCATTCATTCAATAGATCAAAAAATTATTCTTAATACGCAATTAAAGACTATATAAGTTTTAATCAAGAAAGAAAACAAAAAACTTGAATTAAGTTTTCTACAGCTATTGTTTGGATACAGAAGATAGCAATATGTCTAAAAGTTTTAAATTTCTAGATTATCATAAATTTTTTTTTGCACAATCACAGCTTTTTCCACTGAGAATGGTCCACTAGATTGCTGCCTTTCTCAGTATACATCAAATATGCTACAAAATGTAAAAATAACCTTCAGAGAAATAAAGTAAAACACTACGTTTAGTTCAGAAGCAAAATCGTAAAATTTTAAAGTGATCTCTTTACTGTGATCGAGGGTATTATTGAAATTTGTTTATGAGTCAGCTGCTGTCTATACACATTACATGCAGTCTTATATAAAAAAAAAAACTTAATTAGAAAATAATTATATTCAAATAAATACAAAAATCAATTTTTTGCAATAAAAGTAAAAAAAAAAATCCCCCCCCCCATTTTCTCCCACCATGGAAGAAACTTTCCAATATCAGAAAAATGCAACAAAATCATAAGAAATCCAAAATTTAGATCGTTTCCAATAATCCACTTACCCATCATTCCAAAGATTTCGAAGATGTTCTCGTGTTATTTTCATTATCGCATAAAACCACTCCCAGAAAGTGAAACTCCTTTCAGGTAAAGGCTCTTTACAGAACTGTGACCATGTTAACATCATTGAGCCATCTTGATATTGTGCATCTATTTAAAATGTATTAAGCACATTTATCAACATAAAAAGATTTTTAATTAATTTTTTAAAAATTAGTACTTTGTCACAGCAATATACAAGTTACTCATATTAAACATAATAAATATGAACAGTAACATCAGAACTTTATAAATTAAAAAAACCAATGAAATTTATTTACTTCTAAAAACTTTGCCTTGCAGAAACTGCAAGTTTTCTTCTACTAGTTCCCTACCAGTGGCAGCTTTGAATTTTGTGCTGAGAACTTCGGCAACTTCACTCCAGCTAACTTTTTCCGGAACTTGGAAAGGTACACGTCCCTAAAAATTTGAAAGTGAAGAATTTAAACATATTCATATTAATAGAAAAAGAACCATATTTATTTTCAGCTGTGTAATACAGAAAGTCAAAAAGAAATACAACTATATCGCTAAAAGCGGGCAGTTTCTATTTTGTCCTTTATCAGCAAAGTAATTATAAAATTGTTCATATTTTTTTTAAATTTTAACACTTGATAATTCAATTTAATGAATATGAAGAAGAAATATGAATTCAAATCATTGATTGGTTTTAAAATTATGTATCTTTATATTAAAAGGCAGTATATAGTACTTTTACCTGTAATTCATCTGAAACATTTAAAACAAATTTTAATCCTTCAGTACGGGCGTGTCATACGTGCATCAGCAGCGAACATTACCTCACAGCTAGGTGTGTCATATTTGAATAGCCATTTAATTCACTCTATGGCCACGCATACCACATTTGACTTTTTAGATAGAACATTTAATTAGTATTTTTTCTTGCCACTAGATGTAGCTGTATGTTTGTTATGGGGAAATATATCGAAAATTAAGTATGTGTACCTTCATTCCTATACAATTTTTTTTTATTTTTTGGTATTTTGTTTCGGAATGAGAGGGAGATTCATAAGTGAGTGTTGAGCAATGTAATGTCTCTTTAACTGCGTCACCTTTATATATATAGGCGGCTAACGTGTGTGTCGCCGATAGTTTATTGTTGCCACTCGGAAAAATGAGCATGGAAATTAAAGTTTTCGCAGTTTTTAATTAATATCTCAGCCGATTAAAGTCGTACGAAGATGAGAACGGTATCAATGGATTTGGAGAATTTTTGAGAAACCGAGAATACACGACGTGAATTTCAATTTGGCACCGTTCTGTGGATAATTGAGAAAAAAGAATTTGGCACGTAGCCAAATCCCTTTAATAGGGAAAACCCAAGAAAGAAAGTGGAAAATATAGGGAAAACATAGGGGGAAATTAGTTTTTAATTAATATCTCGTCTAATCAAAGTCCCACGAAAACGCAAAGGGTCAAAATAGCGTGCCATGGACCTGCGGAATCCAACGGTGTGCTTTGCTAAGCCCGGGAGCCAGCTGTTTCGGAGGAGATGATGTTACTTCACCCCAAATATATATATATGCGGCTTAAGTGTCTGTTTAATTAAACAATTAAGCAAGTAGAAGGGGGAAACCCTGTAGGGCAGTAAGCAAAGGGGCGTCCTCGCCACCTGCCCCGGGTAATTCAGTTTGAATTAGCAGACACCTTTGCACAAATCATTTTAATTATAATTTATAATATCAAGAACAACGGTCATTTCGCTGGGCTTTCTAGTTTATTTAAACAAATGCAGGTGTGTTCTCAGTGCTTTGAGGTACTTTTTATTTTTATTTTTGCAATATAGGTATCTGAACGTAGAAGAATATACACAAATGCTAATTCGTTAGTATTGAATAATGTGATGGCTCTTACTGTATCATTTCATATAAACAAATGAACATGTTCTCGATGCTCTGAAATACTTGTTAATTTAATTTATTTACTTTATTTCTTTTTATTTTTTTATCCCCGTATAGTGAAGATGATGTTTTATCATTCTATTCTAGACTTTTTTATTACTCTTAGACTTTTCCGGCATTGAGATGAATATTTTGTATGGTTTAGCAAAAGTTTTATATATAATATATATATATTTCTAGTGTTCTATTTTTTTAATGGCAAAACAAAAGCACTACCTGACTGTTGAAGATATACAAATGCTAAATGAGTCAAATTTGCTGATATTCTATTACTGTGATATTTGCAACGTTGGACTTTGCGTACACCCATGTTTCAAGGAATATCGTACACTGTCTCTTTTTTGAAATATTGCTTCCTTTTTGTTGTTTGCACATTGAATTTTTATGAAAGACAGTTTTAATATTTTTTAATTTTAATTATGTGTTGTGTTAAATAAAATCTGTGATTGTTTGGATATTTTTCCATATATATTTAATTTTGGGATAAAGGAAAAATTATATTATTCTAGAATGAGCATTTTATAAAATTTTTAAGGAAAATACAACAATAAAGGTTTAAAATTAATTCTAAAAATTGGAATAATTGGATGTCAAATTTAATTCATACGAAGTTTTTTCCAAAGTTAGGCTTTGCAGCGCAAATTGCCCGTCCCCACAAGACGACGTATCTGGTTAACGTACTGTCCCAAGAAAACACTTCGGTAACAGAGGTGCCCGCCGTGAACGGCTTAAAATGCATACATTTCACATATAATGCATAAAAAGTTCGCAAATGTGTACATTGACAATTATGCATTAATTACATATTTTTCATTTGTTTACGAAAATAGTTCGATTTTTCAAGTAAATTACGTGCTATAACCAAGAAGTTGGGGGGTGAAGAGAATGAAAGCTTACTTCAGTGCAGTGAGCACAACATATAAACTGACTCTAAGATTTAATGTTTTATATTTTAATCAAAAATATCAATATAGAACTAATGCAAGGAAAAGTATTAAGAATTAAGATAAATGGAATATCCAGCTTTTTCATGAATGATTTCCAAGTTGCATTTTAAACAATTTCGAGAAACCCATCTGAATCTTTATAAATTTATAGTCTGTCTATCATAAGAAAAGCTCTCGCCAGTTAGTCGGCAGCTGTCTGTTGCCGTAGAAACGAGTCTTGACCCACTTTCCTTAAGGATGTCTTGGAAATTTACTTTTCAGTTTGTCATCTTTGCGCATTTAAAGATTAATTGGTAACCCTTGGTTCACCCCTATTTGAAATATACTAGCCCTGTTGCTATCTCGACTGCCACCCGCCAGACACTATGTCGGAATCTGACAGTAGTTGACAGAAGCAAACTCAGATGGTGCTATGATTAATGTGAACGCTTCCCCTCCAGCTGAGACGCGTACCACTACTATCAATTCACCAGCTTCCAGAATCGAGACCATCAATCATCATCTTAGTGACCAGCTACATTCATTTTTAACCCCTTCGAGCCGGGTAGCGAAAACGCGCGCTTATTGCGGAGGCCGGCAGTGTCTTTCGCGAGCGTCTCTCCAGGGCCGGAGGCTTTTTTGCTACTAAGCCTAAATCCATAAAATTTCCGAAGTATCAACGCATTGTTTAATAATGCTCTATAGAGTATTTAAATGGCTTATGCTTTATAGATATTTTATATATATATACTTTAATTACCTTATTTCTTGTTTAAATGCATATTTTCACATTTTATTTTAATTACTCACCATTTTATGACTTTTAACATTATACATCTGAAAACTAAATATATTACTTAAAATTCTCTTTTCGTATGAAAAATTTGAAAACAGGGATCTACACACAGTCCTACGTTACATTCCTTGAACTCGTAATAACTCATTTGCCGTTTTGGAGGATTTTTCCGGGAATGTGAACAAACGAAGCATCGTCGTCTCATTTTCTTATCAGTCTCTTCTGAACAAAGTTTTGGAAAATGTCTTTCAGAATGAATATCAGAATTTCAGAATCAATATCTGAAATATTTTGCATCATTTCTGCTATTTCATGCTCTGTTAAACATTTTTGACGCTTCGACACTGAAACGGTAAAAACAGAAAAAACAGAAAGTAATTCACGTCTTGGTAAAAACAGAAAGAATTCACATCTAACAAGATCTAATTATTTTCTAAAAACTGAACTGTAAACCAAAATACTCAACGCTTTAGCGCATATAAAACTTACAATAAACAACTACCACGTGCGAATAAAGTGCGATTTAAAGAGACGTCATAAATCACGCCATTCGGAAACATTTAGTTCCCCGTTTGTTTATATAATCAAAAAACACATGTATGTGAGTCATGCTTCTCTCATTTCAAGTAGAAGGTCTAATGTACATGTATCTGAAACCATATGGACATACAGTGCCATCTTGTGGTAGAAATTATAGTTTGAAAAACGTTCCAAGGTACTGGCACAAATACGTGGCAGTCGGTAGTAAACGCAACAATGCTCTGGCACGCCTAAATTCAGCGTGAGCGAGAAAAAACTACTTGGTTCATTAATTACCTCTATCTGCAATACTTTTGCAGAACAAGAAGTGTACTGTGCAAGTCTGCAAGGAAAAATTCAGCTGCTGCAACAGCAACTCAGCATGAATGATAATCGTTCTTCAACAGCTCCGGCCACACCAAAAGACCTTCCAGAACAGACGGAAACAGAAGAAACCCCATTTACCGAAGTCAAAAAGAGAAAGAAAAAAGCAAGAACTGCGCAACTTAACAAACAGTTATCAGACCACGTCCTCCTATTAAAAGCAAAAGAAACAGATAGAACTCCAGAACAAGTCAGATCACAACTACTGAACTTAGTGCCAGGGAACTGGGCATTACTGTTGAAGAAGTAACACACGCTCTAACAAACTTTCAATTAGGTGCAGCCACAGACAAAATATAGAAACATTCAGGAAAGCGATTGAGGAAAAGCCCTCACTCTCAGCAGCAGTCACGCTCAGAGAGCCCTTTTTCAAGAAGTCCACAATAATCGTCTTTGGTACCCCCACATCCGCAACAGCAGACGACATACGTGAAGCTTTTGCGAGCCTGGTGCCCTCAGCAAGTGAAGAACAAATACATCCAAGAAATCCTATTCGCACAACTATTGGCCTCACCTGGATCGTCGACCTACAGCAGAATCTGTACGAGGATATTAAGGACCTTAGAAGAATTCTTATAGGATTCAGCTCTTGTGCTTTCAGAAAATACTTTCAAGTTGCAAGGTGTTTTAATTGTCAGCGGCTGGAACACTTGAGTCATTCTTGTAAAGCAGTGTTGGCCTGCGTAAACTGTGGACAAGCTCATAGCCAGGATAACTGCAAAGCAAAGACTCCACACTGCGTCAATTGCGCAACTCACAATAAATCCAAAGGCACTAGCTTCGACACCACACACCCGTCTAGTGCAAGACAATGTCAAGCCTACAAGGCAGAACTGTTCAGAATGAAAACAACGGCGCAGTGGTAGATGAACA